ATGCCCAGCGAGATGGATTGGCGAAGTGTCCGCATCAGTGGGCTCAAGTATGGCAACAACGGTGAGGTTGGCCCAGGATTGGGCAGTGTTTCATTCTGCTGTGCAAGGGGTTGCTATGTGTCAGTACCAACTCGATGGCACCTGACAACAACAATATTTTGTCAAGGAGCTCTGGTAGTGTAATGGCTATGAATCAGGCTGCTAACCTCAGGGTCAGCAGTTCAAAACTACCAGATGTTCCGCTGGAGAAAGATGAGGCTTTTTGCTCCTGTAAAGATTTACAGCCTTGGAAACCTTGTATAGGGTCACTATGAATTGAAACTGACTCCATGGCACATAACAACAACAATATTTTGTTAAACATTTAATGAAATCACCCCTAACGTGATTCAGAAATGCTGGGGACATATTATCAGAAAGGATCAGTCCCTGGAGAAGAATATCATATTTGGTAAAATGTTTGTTTTAAAATTAGAAATCCTACTTTTATCTTCTTCAATATTGTTTTAGCTATCCATGGCCTCTTGCAATTTTATGTAATTTGAGGATTGGCTTTTCTATTTCTCTAGAATTTTGATAATAATTTAGTTGAACCTATAGATTGCTTTGTGTAATATCTATATGGAACTTCATCTCATTTATTGAACTCTGCATTAACCTCTTTCAGTGATATTTTAGTTTTCATTGTGTAAGCCTTCACATCCCCAGCGAGATTTATTCCTTTTAGGTATTCTATTTCTTTTAGATGCTATCGTAAATGGAATTGTTTCCTTAAGTTCCTTATCAGATTTATCATTGCTGGTGTACAGTGACTCAGCTGGTTTTTGTTTGTTGACCTTGTATCCTGCAACTTTACTAAATTTCTCTATTGGTTCTGTAAGAAAATGAGAGTATTGCATTGCAAGAGGGAATGAGCATTGAAAGGCAGCAATGAAGATATGGACTGAGTTCGACCACATTCCATAGACTCCTGTCGACTTTGAGATGAGAGAGCGAAGAAGGGCTGCTTGGTCCAAAGTGTGCTGAGACTTGGGAATTCCTGAGCCCATTGACAATGATCTAACCACAGAAAGTTAAAGCGGAGTGAAGTGACAAGCTGATATGAAGTGGGGGGAGATGCACAAGAACGCCTAAAATTGACATAGCTTTGATGGCTTGATGATCAGAACACAACTAGAGGAAGATAAAGAAATTTGATAAAGGAAGCAAATGTAAATTGCTACAATTTGATGAACTTGACCTATCTTTATGGATGTAGTAGCACAAAATACCAACTGAGAGGAAAAGAATCTTCACATCAAGGATCAAACCTACCCCCCTTTTATGCACAAGGTTGATAGGGATGGGCAATTTAGACATTGGCTACCTAAAATGGTGGTGGTGGTGGGGCTATAAAGGCATGAAGTGGCTGTCTCATAAGTTTTCAAGAGAGTTCAGTTTTAGAGTGCATGGGGAAAGGTATAATCCTCACTGAATAGTTTCCATCTTGTCTAGATGGGTCTGGTGATATGATATGGGGATAGGATTCATTTGATTCAACAGTGAGTAAAAGTTATCATGACTAATTGCAATTGTCACAACTGTAAAGGTAGAAGTTGTATAACAAAATGGGGGGAGTAGTTAATCTTACATTCCAGGAACATATTATCCTAGGACCATCAAGAGAGAAGAGCATGAGCAGAATATGTGACCCCAACCAGAGAAGCAGTGACACCAGAGATGGGGAGGCAGAGGTGACGGCATAGAGAGATTGAGCAGCTGAGGACTCTAGACTCATGGAAAGAAAAAGGCTGTATGCTGGCGTCCAGGGAGTCTGGCTTGCAGAATGTGCCCATTGGTTGTTTTAACAATTCTATAATGCTGCTTATTTTTGTGTGCATCAAAACCAAACCAAACAAAAACGTAACAACAGAGGACTAGAAGCAAATACTGTTAATTGATGATGCATGGAGGGGATTGTAATCATTGCAATGAAACAAAATACAATACGTTTGTTGAGTGCAAAACCGGTTTTCCCATGTAAACTATCACTCAATTCACAATAAAAGCCTTAAAAAAAAAAAAAAAAATGGTGGGGGGGAAGGGAATGAGCATTGAGATAGGACATGAATGAGTACAAGGGGGATTCCAAACACTCATGGAAAAATTCCATTATATCTTAATTCCATTTTCTCATGAATTTTTGAAATCTCCTTGTTTTCCTGAAAGAAGTAACTCAGAGAAATGGGATCAACCTGGGAAATAGCTCTGAAGCCACTAACATGGATTTCTGGAGACAGCTTAGGAGGCAGGATGCTAGGCTGAATCTGGGTGAGAAAAGTCTACAAGACAATGGGTGTTCTGGGTCTGAAGTCGAGAAAAGTGGAAACCAAGGAAAATGGTTTTTCAGGGGTAACCTTGGGGCATCTCTGAAAGCAGGTGGACCAGCTAGATGATGGGTATGCCCAGCATCCACTCCAGTCCACTCTCCCCACCTTGCCTCCACTGTACAGTGACCACCCCAGCATCATTCCCACACAAGGAAACAAGGTTGATGAATAAACTGCTTACCATGAATGTCAGAGATTCCATAAATATTTGGGGAAAAAAAAATCATATAATTTATTTGCATATTTCACAATTGAAATTTACAGTTTAAAAAAGATACAAAACAATAGACAAACATTGGGCCACATAAATAAAGGAAGCACTGGAGAAGACACGTTTCCATCACGATTATGTGTCTTCATGCTTGGGATGGGAAATGGGCACACCATAGGGCAACATGTCTGCAAGCCCCAGGAAAACGAATTCCCACTCCAGCCTCAAAGCTTAAAGCTCATGTGCCTGAAGTTGTCATGACTTTTCATTTCAAGGGGAAGTCTAGCAGTAGAACATTCATTTCATTCTTAAAAACCAGTGTCCTTGGAAAGGAGATGGGACCATGGGAAAGTAGTCCTCATGTAGAGCATTGAAGTTTCACACTTGGCAATAAACAAGGGACCCTTCCCTGCAGTTGAAATGAAGGGGTTGGAGAGGATCCCAGGGAGTCCAGAACACATTCTTCTCATCTTTGTCTCAAACGCCAGTGATGCTCTTCAGCACATTCATTTACTAATGTTAAATTAGGAGTCAGATATTTTGAAGTAGCTCAAATACACCCTTAGCTGTTCCTGCTTTATAAGGACAAGAACATTTTCAAAGAACTGAGCGTACGTGAACTACTTGTGGGCTTCCAAAGGCACAGGTTCCAGAACTGAGGTAGTCACATGTATGAACACTGTATGCAAACAGTGCATCTTGAATCGGGAATCCCTGATGCCCCACGTGGCCTCAATCATCCACGTGGTTGGGAGACATAAGGAGGGTCAACATGACACCCAATGGCTCCCATTCTGAGGACCCAGAGGACATACACCATCTTCAAGGAGGTTGGAAGGAGGGGGACGAGGAGTCAGGCTGGTCTCCACCATGGAGCCCCACAGACAACACAAAGGGATCTGAGCCAGAGTTTGGTGGGGAATATGTGGGTATTTGGGGTAAATGACTTTTGCTATTATTTCCCAGATCCAGGGATCTGTCCACACTTTCAGCACATGAGAAGAATAAAAAGGGTGTTGATGCCAGTATAGGTGATCATCACACCATTGCCCATGAAGAGCTGGTCCCTTATGTCCAGCCATCATCCGAGGCTGCTAAGAAGGCACTGAAAATGACCAGAAAGCCTCTTGTGAGGGATGCATGGGATTTCCCATGGGGACCTTTTGGACCAGCAGGTCCTCTAGCTCTCTCTCCAAGGGCCCATTTTCATTTCTGCCTCAAGACATTTTCCCAGTTCATCCCAAAGTGGGTTCCATGGTGAGCTCATCAGGGAGACCCTGGCAGGATGTCTGCAGCTCTGTCGATCACTCCACTCTGCAGACCCTGATGTGTCTAACCCCAGGTGCCCACACCCAGTGGGGCCCCCATGCTGTGTGGGACGAGTGGGCCTCTAGAGGAGCCAACCTTGGAGAATGCCCAGTTAGCCAAGTTCACTGTTTAATAAAATGAAAGGACCTTTGAATTATCTCTAACACATAAAGCATTGTGAATTTAAATAGCCCTTCATCTTTTTGTGCCGTGGTTCCATGGACTTGCAGATTAGCTGTTGGCCTGTTCAGAAAGGAAAATGAATAAATAAATAATTGAAGTTATTCCTTAAAATACAAAAAGATAGATTTCTTCTTTTTCTTAGACTGACATGAGGCATTTATAAACGAATTAAGTCTGTGAGGCCTCAGAGTGTGACTCCCAATACACAACCTTTCCTTGTACCAAAGCCTGGGTATCAGAACTTCTAGCTGTTCCCCTCACCCCCAAAAGCTTGGGAACTGCCTTGTACATAGCCCTGAAAAGGGAGGAAACAGGATAAGGACTCAATGACTGCATTGTTTCATTCTCCACTCTCCTAATCACCCAAATTTTGATTTGATGATATCTAAGCAGCTCATGCTCACCAGGTGCTCCTTGGAAACCCTATCCAGGGTCACTATGGGTCAGAATCGACTCAACAGCAAACAATAACAACAAAGAGTCTTGGTGTGTCACTGTGGGATAAGGCACTGGATCATATGGTCAATTTGAACCACAGGTTCAAACTCGCCAGCTGCTCCTTGGAAACCATAGACAAGGTCACTATGAGTCTAAACCGATTTAACAGCACTTAACAACAGCAATGAGGAGTCTTGGTAGTGTAGTAGGTTATGAGTTGGGCTGCTAACTGCAAGGTCAACAGTTCGAATCTACCACTGCTCCATTTCGCAGGAGAAAGATGAGACTTTTTGCTACCATAAAGATTTATAGCTTTGGAAATCCTGTACAGGGTCGCTATGAGTCAGAACCAACTTGACACATAACCACCAGGGGGTCATGGGTCAGAAGAACATAAGGCAGTCCTGGGTATATCCCTGTTGGCTCTAAATTCTGGATTTATTCACTAGACCAACACGCCAAGGACACTGCCTTACAGTGATGAGGCCACTGATGGAGAGGAAGAAGCTATGCTAACTGCAGACATGTGGCCATAAAAGCCGAAGAGAGCTTCCTACCAGCAGTGGTTGGCAACCAGCTTACTGGCAGCATTATGTGGGCTTTGAGGAGGAACACAGAAGAAATTACCCTCATTTGTTGGTAAATCCAGTCTGTGAATACCGTCATATTTCCGTATACTCCTGGTTTGTTCTCCTTGGCACATCCAGATCCCCAACTTGTGTCCCCAACTAACCACCAGACACTGTTCTTCAAAGTGACCAGAGGACCTCCACTGTCACCCTGGAGGGATAAATAACAAAGAGCAGAGAATCAAGTCACCACTGTCAGACACCAAGACCGCAGAGACATTGTAGGAAGTATGAGTGTGTGTGTTTCAGGGTAGGTTCTGAGGGTACTGAGGGGTACATGTTAGTGTGAGTCGTGAGGGTACTGAGGCATGCACGTTTCATATCCACTCCATTAAAAGGTAATAGTAAGGAGGCGGGACTTGATGGTGGCTAGGGTGGAGGTGCAATGAAGTTCGTCATCAGCAATACCACAGAATACCAGGCAAAGCAGATACAGGGCAGAGCTCCAAAACTTGGAACCACATAGCTAGGAATATTTTAAAAGTTTAAAGGCTTATAGATTGTGGAACTTGAAGCTGAAGGAAGAAATCGCGTACTTTTGAATCTGCCGGGCTGGGCTCAAAGGCCCAGAGCCAACATCTTGGGCGAGACCGAATGGCAAGACCAAGTGGGGGAGCAGAAACACCCGGGAAAATGCCGCGGAAATCTTGGAGCAAAAGTGGACAATATACTTTGTCAGTTTTGCTTTGTTCTGATTTTCTTTCTTTCTTTCTTTCTTTTTTTTTTTTTGGGTATCTGGTTATTGGCATGCCCACTGTTTGTCCACTTCCATTCTGGTGACTAGAGGGGGCGCCTGAGTGAGCGGACACCCCCTACCCTCACCACTGGTGGGTTCTTCTGCCATGCATGCACACAGATACTAAGCCCAAGAGCAGCCCTGAACTTTTGTTTTTGTTTTTAATATGGAAAAGGGAAGGACAGGGCAGTAGAGAGGGAAAGAGAGTTTAAAAACAAAGCAGGTGGAAAATTAAATTAAAGCCTAAGGTATAACATAACAACCAACACTGGTGTCCTGAAATCTCTCAGGCAGCTTTGAAAGTAAGAAGCTGAAGAGAGGACAGTATAGCATACTCATATTAGGCTATAGATTTCTTTTTTTTTCTTTTCTCTCTCAGCCTCCTTTTCTGTGATTATAGACTTCAATATTCAGTCTAGTTTTTGTATATTTTTCCCTCTTGTTTTTTTTTTTTCCCCTTCTACATTTGGAGGACTCTTTCTCTCCCTATATTACACAAGAAGAGTCAGCAGCTGCTGCCATATAGCCAAGCTACAATCACACGCCATAAAATGCCAAAACCCAGGCAAGAACCAATACCAACTGCCATATACCAGGGAAGCAGACAACACTTGTGAAAGTTACTCTGAGTTAAGTGAAAAGGGAAGCCCACATCTTGATCACATCTTCCTGGAAGCAATCAGAAAGCATAAAAAATACCAAAACACATACTCAATTAAGTATTAAGGCCACAGATAAACACTAAACATGTCCAAGAAGCAAAATCAGATGACCATAACAGCACATGTCCAGACATAAGATAAAATGTCTGAGACAAATGACCTAGAATTAGACCTGGACTCCATTCTGGAAGGAAGGCAGACCTTGGAAATGCCTAAGAAAGAATTAAGAAAAATGATTATAAAATGTTTTGAAACACTTTATAATGGAGTTGAGAAAAATAAAGAAGAAGTCAGGAAAGTGCTACAAGAACAATCAAATAGGATAGATAAAGCAGTGGAAACAATTCAAAACCTACAGAAAGAGGTCCAAACAATCAATAACAGAATATCAGAAATAGACAATACTCTGAAAGGGAAAAGGAGTAGAATAGATGAGATAGAAGGCAGAACCAGTAAGGTGTAAGACAAATCTCTCTAAGATAGAAGAACAAACAGAAAAAAGGATTTAAAAAATCTGAAGAAGGTCTAAGATTCATGTTGGACAACATGAAGAGGAATAACTTAAGAATTTATCGGCATTCCAGAACAAGAAGAATCACATAAGTCCACAGAGGAAATAGTTGAAGAATTGCTGGAAGAAAATGTCTCTAACATCCTGAAAAGTGAAAACATTCAAGAAGCTCAACAAACCCCAAGAAGGATAGAACCCAAAAGAAAATCACCAAGACATATAATCAAGCTCTCCAAAATTAAAGAAAAGGAGACACTTCTGAAAGCAGGCAGGGAAAACAGAAGTTTTTCACTGTGTGTAAATCTAGGTAGGTCTACAAAGTCTACAAAGGCAAGCAAGTCAGATTAAGCTCAGATTTTGCAGCAGAAGCCATGCA